TCACTCATATCCAATTGTCTTTGAAGCTCTGATATGTGACTATAAATCAGTGCGGAGAGAGGGGAGAAATAGAGTGAACACTTCATTAGTGAATTAATATAAAGTGAACGAGTAGGAAGAAGCTTACATTTTATAAACCAATAGGGTGCACAAGGCGAGGATAAAGGCAAATAGTGATGTGTGTGTATGTGTGCATGAATGTGTGAATCGTTTCATGTTTTCACTGGACAGCTCAAACTAAAATTCACTAACTTCCAGTTGACACTTTCTGGGAGAAGTGTAAATATTTCTTTGAGTATCAATGCCAAAAGTACACAGACAAAGACAAAATGAGATCTTAAAAAAGTAACATAAACAACAGACAGAAGACCATATGTCACTTTACTAAACACATGGTATCTAATCAGCAATGTATATCCTTGGAGTTTAAGGCATTCATAGGTAATTATATGGCAAATCGCCACCTACTTTATCCTGTGGATATTATCGAGTTTCAATAAATAGGCCAAATATACTACAGCGTTTAACTTTTGAATCAACTACATCATTTAACTCATTTCATTGTACAAATATCAGTACAGTCGGCTTCACCCTCCTGTGAGACCTGGTCATTGAGAGTGGAGGACATGAAAAGGCCGGCTTGCTGTCTTTGATCATAGGTGCCTGCGTTCTACCTCCCGTCTGAAGTGGTATAATAAGGTAAGCAATATTGAGGTTAGGCGTCGAGTGCTAGGTAAGGAGGGGAAGTCAATCGACGAGGCTGTGAAATTACATCGACTGAGATAGTTAGGATATGTGTTACGTGTGCCTAGTCATCGCCTTCCTCAACGGCGAATCTTAGCTGCATATGGTCAGGCTGGAAATGAGCTAGCAGCGGTCGAACCGAAACAGACAATAAATTCCACAACAGTTAGTTTAAGATGGCCACGTAGAAAGGTGAAGATTTCCTCACTGGTCGGGGTCCTCGGGGTGGTAAACACCAATGGCTGGAGACAATCATTCATAAGGCTCAAAATGGTTCGCAATGGCGCAGATGCATCCACTCCGTGTGACTTATAATTTCAAATGAAACTATATTGTTCTTCGTTATTACGATTCCTTTTGTCTCATATCCCTGTCTACTGTCTCTATTTTGCATTTCTTTTACTTTCTTCTCTTACTTTGTGTGCTACATGGAATGTGGCAACTTGAACTGCAGAGTTCTATGTTGAAAACAGACAGACATAATGTATGTCAGATAAACAGCGTCTTCTCATTGATTTTCCTTCGGAAGAGATACTTTTATCAATTTTATATTATTCAACGCCATTAGTTCTGTTTTCCTCAGCACATGTTAAATCAGTCAGTGCTTCTGTAGGATTCAGAGACCAAAAGCAATTCCAAACAGCTTCGGACTTTAACCAACAACTGTCTCCTTGTTTGGCTCCATATTGAAAGTAAGATCAAATAGCCAGTCAGCCAGAAAGAATCAGCAACAAGAAACTATCGCTACAAACTAGCCAAGAACCTATCGTTGAACAATTATGTAGGAGTGTAACAACAGATGACAAGGGCCAGGCAACAAATCCTTTATTAAGGAAATCAACACATATTTATAGATTTTCATGTACATATTATATATTACTGTTAGCAGAAAAACACAGTCTTCTGATTGGTTGTTTCTCACAGAAAGTTAACCTTTCCTCTCTTTGTGGCTGTTTCTTGAATGTCAGACCATCTATATGTTAACTGTATCCGCCTACGCAAAGTCTTTGTTCTCATTTTTCTCACGACCAATACTGGGGACACAAACATTGACGTAAATTACCGTCCACCAATTTTGGCTAACAGTCAGCTCTCACCACAGGAGAAACTAGACATGGATAGGGCACACACCACCGAGGAGACCGTCGAATGACATCGCGCGCTAGACCACCGCTCCAGTGGAACCCGAATGGAAAGGGACAAGTAGGTGGTCCGACGATGACATGGAAGAGATCGTGCAAGGAAGAGATGAGAGATTATGAACAATTGTAGACCCAGCTAAAGGGAACCTCAGAGAATGGAACAAAGAGGAGACGTGCTATTGAACCCAAGGGAACAATAATAATAACAATAACAAAGCATCCAAAATGAAAAATAAAAAATTACAAATGACACACCTTTCAAATTCATTACGTTGTCTACTTAACTCAGCATCTTTTACCAATAGATTCATATCTCGAGATTGTATTTCCTTATGACAGGCTTGTAATTCACTGCATAGATTATCGTATTTACTTCGCCAGTCTAAAGTACATTAAAAATAAATAAACCAATGATTAAAGAAGAAAGAAAAAGAAAAGCACAAACCGATTTCAGCTTCTTCATTTTTACTTTTCATCTCATCAACTAGTACTTTCAAATGGTTATTCTCTTCCTTTAACGAGCCAATAATTTCCCTGTTTGTTATATCATCAAAGGAATGATTAGAGAAAATTGAATCATTGACTTACGAGGCTTTATTTAGTGATTGTTGTCTCGCATCGACTAACTTTCGTAAGACTACATTTTCACATTCAGCAGTATAAGCACGCTATAGTAAGTAATAAAATAAAGAATAATAATAAATAAATATGCAAAAATCTACAGATTCTTGATCATCACAATTACGAGGTTGACGATAAATTTGTTCATAATTATACAGCAGTAATCGTAAACGGAAATTTTCTCTCCTCAGTGCAGCTAAATCCTCGTGAATATTTCTAATACAACCTTTCGAATCTCCTTCTGAAAAAGAAAAATATCAATAAGATGCTTATTTTGAAAAACAAAAGCTTACCTTCCGGAGAATGCCAAATTTTGTCCATTTCACCTGAGAAAATTATTCAAGCCTGTAAAAAATAAATACGAGGAAATAAGCCTTGAAATTCCATCATTTGTACATTGCAACATATAACAACGATTCCTAGGAAAGTAATTCAACAAAGAATAAGAACTAACACAGTCTAGTTCTTCGTTACCTTTTTCATCATTATTCTGTTCCTTTACGCTCAGAGTGGAACATAGAGCTTCAGGCTACAGTTTTGAAGTGTCCGTAGTAGTGGTTTCTAGTTTTAAGAGGTGTGGGGCTTGATAAAATAACTCTTAATCTTCCCTGTTTGCCGGGCTTACTACCTACCGGCTTAGCAAAGGTCTAGGAGTGTGTCAGGCAGCCGAGGATCGAACTCTAAACCACGTGATGCGTGGCTGGTAAGCGTTGTACTGCTGGACCAGCGACGCGCTCCTAGTTATATAATAAAAAAACACCCCACCTATGATTGTCGGTTGCATACCGTTACATTTCAAGATTCCTAGCATTAATACACAAACAATTGTGGACAAATCAATTTAGTCTAGCTATGTCCTTCAACATTACTATTCTTTTTGCCGCATATTTCTGTTCATTATTTCTCGTTACTGTCTTCTCTTGCTTTGTGTGCTATGTGGAGCGTGGCAACTCGAGCTGCTGCACATCCGTGCAAAGTTCTATGTTGAAATCAGTCATTTAGTTTAACTATTAAAAAAGCCCCCACCACTAGCAGTCACCAGTTGAACATGCCCCTTATACCGCATCCGGTCACCCAAAACATATATATATATATATAATCATTCAAAATCATCTCCAGTCTGCACAAAAACACAGTCCACTAATCTTAAGCGGTAGTTTAAAAATAACTTACAATCCTACATCTATTGACTAGTAATTTTTCCAATCATTTCAACTGCTTCACAGCTAAATTGTGTAATAATGCTATTTACCCACAAGGCAACTGTAGATGCACGTCCCAAGATACGTCGGTCTCTCGACACACTCTCTACTACACAGATGAACAAACAAAAAGCTATGTGGATATTATTATTTTGTGTCACACTAACTCAAAAGAAAACCATGGTTCACTTTGGAAAATGTAGTCTGTAATAAGCCCTTGAAATCTGTCAAAATCACAATACCCCCATTTCTTAATGTTTGAGGTGGGAGAAGTAAAACAAGTGTTAAATGTTATCAGATGGTTCACTGAAAGGTAGAAGTCCAGTTACTCAGTATCTAGCGAATATCTGACAAACTGTAACAATGAACTTATGACCGTTAATTAACACGAAGTGTAATTTCGCCGGGAGTAGTAGTGCGCAGTAAAGATAGAGGGAGCTTCAAAAGACATATAACACAAAGAAGTGTGAGGGAAAAGAATATTAATATGGAAGGACAGTAGGATTTTTGGGTATGTAGATCACAAAGAGTGAATACATATGTGATAACCATTGAGAACTATTTTGAGCCATATTACCAAATGTCTCTCTTCAACCAATGGTTTTTACAATCCCGAGAACCCCAACAAAGAAGTCTACATCTCCATACGTGACTGATTCGCTTAAACTAACTAATGCGGATTTCATTGACTGATGAAGCTGTTTCCGTTTGACGACATCCACTAGCTCTTTCCCAACCTGATCCATTCTCTGGCAGCTAACATTTCCCATCGAGAAAGGCGACTGATAACTAGGTATGTCCTACCCATCTCAATCGATATAAATACACAAGGTCATCGATTGATTTCCTTACTTTACCTAGCACTCGACGCCAAACTTCACTATCGCTCACCCTATTGTATCACTTCACACATTAGAGAAAACGCAGGCACCTATGATCAAAGACAGCAAGCCGGCCTTTTCATATCCTCCACTCTCAATGGCTACGTCTCGCACAGTCACAAAGGATAAAACGGATCGCTGAGCAGTACACACGCCCTCTGGTTAACAGCCTGAGATGCAGCAAGTAAGTGATGTGATCAACACACAAAGTCACAAAGAGAGGAAATAATCTGAATTTCAGGGAGCGGAGTTCGTCAGATGAAAAACTAATCAATTAACTTTGGCGGGAAGGGGGGGTAATCTTCGCATGAAAGACTAAAGTGTACCACTGAAAACACCTTAGGAAATTAAAATAAGTGAGTAACAATCATACACAAAGACAGAAAAAAAATTAAATTTAGAAGACTTTACAGCGAAATAATGATTTATTGAAGACACATGAAATACAAGCATTCAGAAATGAAGTGACGTAGAGTAAACCAATGCAATGAAGAAAAAATGTTTTCACTGTTGCCGCTTATGTTTCACAGTTTTCATGGCTTGTTCAAGCATTTCTTGCATAAAAGCTATTGGAGAAGATTGCTGAATATTTGGTTGACTGACAATATTGGTATTTCTAGAATCAATGTTAGCCATATTACGATCTAAAAATTCCAACAGATAGGTATCATCCATGCGAACATTCATTTTTGTACTAATATCATCAAGAGGAATATCAGCAGATCTAAGAGCAGTTTGTTTATCGTTAGACGGAGAATTAGTTGGGTTCGAAGTAGCCATTGATTTCTCCCCGTTATTAATTTTCACTGCTTGACCATCATCATACCAATTGGTTGTTTCTAGGCCTAAGGGATCGTAAAATATATTCAATACATTTGATTTCAACTGATCAATATTAGCATCTCCCGTATTTATCTGGAGGAGAGAAAAGAAAACGAAACAAAAGAGAAGTTGCTTCGGTAAAATTTTCAAAACTACTAAAATAATTAGAACAAATTCTCGCAGGGTTTATCATATATCTATATAAAATTTTTCTTATGTGTAGAAGTTTCTGTAGCAGTATGATTGGTTTTCTGCGGCCCTAAGCCAAACCCTCCCTCTTTCCTCAGGTTTTGCACAGGATAGAAAGCTAGCGAGACAGTACACTAGGCAACAACAAACAGCACCAGTCACCATCAACGGGAGAAATTTTAAAGAGGTCACCTCCTTCACTTACCTACGAAGTATCGTCCCAACTACAAGCGACAGAACGATGTCAACACCACAATCGGAAAGGCGACATACACCATCATCAATTTGAAGTCCGTTTCCAAACATTCTCCTCTCGGCACAAAGAACAAGATTCCAATTTTCAACACCAATGTTAAGTCAGCCAGTCAGTCAGTCACTTCTTATATATTGGTCAGAAACTTCGTCACCATGTCACGAAAAGCATTTTCAACAGGCTACTGTAGACATTTATTATTTTGCAATCGTATTAGGCTACTGTAGACTTTTATCAACAGCTGCCCTTCCCCTTCGCTGACTCCATATTAAAGATCAAATGGTCAGCCGGCCAGAAAGAATTAGCAACAAGGAGCTATACCAACAAACTAACCAAGAACCTATCGTTCAAAAGACGTGTAGGAGAAAATAGACATGGATAGGGCACACACCACTGAGACCGTCAAATAAGATTGGAACCCTAGGGAACAATAATAACAATAACTTCTGCATGGTTAACATTCTAGTGAAAATGATTTCATACTAAATGATAACTACTCATGTAACAAAAACTTCAAAATATTTTCATTTATTCACACAGAATAAATATTTGCATGTTGTTTTCAAGAATTGATTTGTTTTCCAAATTTAACGAAGGACTGATATCAGTTAATCCTTAAAAATCAAGAAGTGAAGGACAGATCTGTTCATCCCAACGTAGAGCCCTTCATCAGTACGCATCCATCGGGTCCCAGTAGCCCAATGATTTACTAGCTTGCCTTGTGACCAAAATGTCCTCTGGCTTCGAACCCCAGCAGGTGCATACAAACGAAGCCTTCCAAAGTAGGACAAAATAGCTGTCCAATATTCCCTCGTTTTTCATTGGTTATCTAAATGATGTCAACTCGTGATCCAGCTTATAACCATTCAAGTCGCTGCAAACCACTTCAATATATATATATATATATATATATATATATATATCAAAGTCTGCACTGTAAATAATTTTCAAGCAAACTCCTTACTTTCTTTCGACTGTTTACACCATCTTGGGTAGAGGAAGATGCATCCCAACTTTGTGCTGCCTTATTCTCATTTTCAGATGTATCCGGCACAGAACGTTTTTCTGAAGGCAATCTAGGCTGTTTTTCGTTGGAGGACCTCTTTGATCGCTGTACAAGCATACAGGGTGGTGAGTCAGGAGAATAAAAAACATTCTTTCCCTTTGAATTCACACTATTAATAGGCGACAAATTTGTGCACAGAAACGATGCTTGAGTAGCCTAAGAGAAAATGACAATAAAACAACTGATGGAAATCAAACACTTTAGAAAAGAATATAAATAACTGCAATAATCTATTACAAACGACCTGGTACCCTAGGGGATAGACAGATTCCAATCTTCCTCATCAAATACTATCATGTGGTCACGCGTTCATAGCTTCTGTCAGTTAAATTCTATTCACAGCCTTCATTAGGCGGGAGTGTTTCTCACAGAAGTGAAAAGGTGAATGAGAATGCCTGATGCTTACAACCGGAATGGTGAACATTCTGGTCTACCTAGGAGAGGTGGGAAACCTTGATTTCAAACCTATGGTGTGCATTGGCTCCATAATCCTTACGGATCGAATGGTGTATGAGTTTGTCTCAGTAACAGCAAATTACGGGAACGCGGTATCTGATGACAGTCCAATTTTGTGTGGATCAAACAGCTAAATGATTCGCTTTGAGAGACAGGGGCGTATCTCAATCCCCGCAAAAGCTATGAGGTCTCTTGGGGCGCATCATTTGATCTCCACGATATGCCAAGTTTGTTATTGAAATAAATAAAAAATCAAAATAACTGCACTAAATTCCATATTAATCTGTGTATTATATATATATATAAGGTTGTGAAGAAACGCAAGAGTTATAGAGTTAAGAAAGCAAGCACACAAACATCAAATCACTGGAAAGCAACACGGTGGTTGACATAACTCTGGTTTTTCAAAATGAGTGGCTAAGCCTACAGTAATACTAAAGAGATGACAGCGTATTGTTTTTGGTAGGTTATTCTCCACTTTATAGATTACCCAGAAGGAGACGATTGTTGAGATGGAATAACCACTGTTGACAAGGTGTTCGACTATCACACCCCTTATAGAGCCACTACTACCTTTTTCCATCCATGAAGGATAGTGTTCTCTAACCCTTTTAGACATGTTACCCATCGAACAACCAAAGTGCCTAACACCACAGCAACAGGGGAGCTGATATATGCACAAAGAAGTGGTCAGGTGCGAGATCTTGACCTTAAGACCTCTGGAGACCAAGAGACGACTGCAGAACACTACGCTTAACGTTGCTGCTGAAAGTGTTCTCTTAAAGATATCGCACGCTAAGTCTCCCTAGAAATCCTACCAATGATTCCCAACCTGAAAAGAAACACTGACCTCATTATTCGAGAGACATTATGGATGAATCTCTTTTCTAAAAAAGCATTCTTCAACGAATACGTCTCCCTGTTGAACCTTCTATATGCCATAACTTAAAGTCCATTTTGTAACTAGATTGCATCGACATTATATGTACGTATATATATACATGAAATTGCGTAGCTAAAAAAAGTATGGACGCTGAAAAGTTTGTATCCAACAAAGTCTTTAAAACTCAGATACAGTTTGTTAGCTATCAAATGAAAATATACTACTTTCAGATTCTAGTTGAACTTCGCAAAATGCTCCAAAAAGTAAATACCGCAAAATACGAAATTAACTTTTCTTTTTCTCTGTACATGCGAACTGATTCAATTATAAATATTTGAGTTAAGAATGAATGTGATACAATTCACGCACTGAGAAAGGGAATTCAATTATTCAGATGTAAACAAAAGTTTGTTGCCTAAACAACGAACAAATATATCCATGCCTGCCTGAGCAATAAGTGAGGCAATCCTTGGACCATAAACTTCGTTAGGTATCCAAAGAACCGGACATATGACATGCTGTTTGTAAGTAACACATAGGGACAACGAGCAACACGTCTGTAATATGGACAAAATATTTTCCCTTAGGATAGAAAGACAGAAGACCAAATGACGGACGACAAAAGGCATATTGCACAAGAAGTCTGTCTGAGAAAATAGAGGTGGATAGGGCACAGGCTGAGGATACCGTTGAGTGAAATCATGCACAAGACCCTCGAGTAAAATCTGAATAGAAAAAACGACGACTTCGGCATGTGTCTGAGAGTGACATGCAAGAGATCGTGTGAGGAAGTAATAAAAAGCATGTGGACAATCATGCAGCCAGCTAAAGAAGAGTACGTGCAACAACAGAACAATACGGAGATACGCCGTTGAAGCCATATGCTCTACTATGAACCCAAAGGAACAACCATATTAATGATGGACATTTACAGAACATCCCACAGAACAGACGTATATTCAAAGACAAACACAATTCTGAGAAAATAATACATGAGAAAGCGATGAAACTTACTTCATTCACCTGGGAATCATTCCTGTAAAAAATGTTACAAACAGCACAAACACAATTGTTATTTTACTAAAAGAAAACATATTTTACAATATCCACTATTCAACTTTAAACAGATGAATATATAAATCAGACTCTGTGCATAAACACATTTAATCAATGAAATTGTCCACAGGATGCTTATTTTAAATAAAGTTTAAAGACAAAACGTTTTTTTAAATTTTATGATAGACGGAGAATACACGGACCTACAAAAATATCTTTCTGTGGTCCCTAAATCCAGAATTCATGAAAAAAGCGAGGTATCAAGACGGGCAAGTTTCTATGCTAACCTTATTGAACAGTTTTGATTCGTTTCATTATGGCTTAATTTCCCGAGGAACACCTGTGTCATACATCCAGTCAGATTTGTTTTATTTACGGCTTTAATTCCTGAGACTTTGTAAACATAATACACACTATTTCACGGATGATTTATGTTTAATGTCACACAAACTCAAAAACTTGCAGGTGAAAACTAACGAACTGCTTTTAAGAATGAATGAATTATCTAATTAGTCTGAACTATTGTGCAGCAAATAAAACGCCGATGTGGCTCAACCAGGTCCATCTTCAAGTCACTAAGTCACGAGCCCAATTCCCACCCCACCTTTTACAGCCTTGGCAGCTGAATATTATGATCAGCGTTAACACTATGAGTGTGGCTTTTAGAGCCAGGTACACAAAAAATCTATTCCAGCTTAAATAATTACAATAAACTCATACCAACGGTTCGAAAAAGATGAAATTGTAGTTAAGAGAAGTAAAAAAGATTTTCACTTCGCATCCCGAGGTCAATATCAGGCGTTAGAGCCTAACTTTAAAGTCCCAGTAGAAGTAGTACTGTTTTGACAGGGTGAAGTTGATTGCCCCAATCTTCTCCCCCTAGAGGGTTCACTAACCAGCCAAGTGAGGTTTTTAGGAGTGGATCGGCCAGGATTTTAACCCCAATCTTGTGCGTGGTTGGTGGTGGGCTGTCTCTGTCTGTCTGGATTCAACATAGAACTTGGCACCGAAGTGCAGCAGTTCCAGTTGCCACGTTCCAATAGCACACAGAGGTAGACAAGAAAATAAGTGAAGAGAATCAATACAGTCTGACAAGTATAAGAGTGAAACAGAATGGGTAATGGTAGAAAGGAATATGAAAGATTACAGAGACTGAATACATCTGCGCCATTGACAACGATTTTGAGCCATGTCACCTATTGTCTCCAGCCATTGATTCCTAGAGTCAGTCCCGAGGGCCCCAACCCGGGAGTCTGCATCTCCCTACCTGACCGACTCAGTTTAACTGTCAAGGATTTCATGGATTGATGAGGCCATGTTTTTGTTTGGCCACCACTGGCTCTTTTCCAACCTGCACCTATATCAGCTAGTAATGCCCGTCGGGGGAGGCGATGGTTAGGCATGCGCAGCACGTGACCTACCCATCTCAGTCTATGTAACTTTATAGCCTCGTCGATTGATTTTCCCTCTCTGCCCAACACTACGCCTAACGTCAGCATTACTTACCTCATTAAACCACCTAACGTGAGACAGAGATCGCAGACATCTATGATCGAAAGCAGTCAACCTTTTCATGGGTGGTGGGCACTTCTAACGTGAGACCTACAACGCATTCCCCTCGTTTCCCCAAAATATTTGAGGATGAGGTTGTACTGAAAAGGCATTAAAAACTTAATCAGCAATATTTTATTATTTTACAGTCATAGCCTCAATAGATTTAGAAGTCAAATTAATAAACAACATCAGCATATGAAGTCATAGACTGTTGATTGATTAGGGTAGTGTATATTGTGATACTGACCATCTGAATGCAGTCTTCGAGATTTTAAGAATGTTGTTTGAGTCTCTTTGTAACATGGCTGAAAGTTATTCATGAATACATAAATGTATAGACTGACTGTCAACTTGCATATTTCAACAATCTTAGCCAATCTTCATCTAAGTATTCTGTTCGTGACATGTATTTTTTATCGACTGCACTACCAGATGATGCACTTCTATGCAAAGCTGTGCTTATGTACCACTGTCATTTAAAAAAACAAGACATTAGTATATGAGCAGCAAACCTATTTTATATAATATTCTAGATAGAAAATCATAGTGAATTTATGAACAAAAAAAGAACATGAAACCTACAGACCTTTGGAAAACAGTGAGTGAAGCTGACAAATATAAATTCATTTGAGGCAGGTAACATTTTAATATGTACAGTACACCTCCTCAACCCACCCCGCCTTTCTATCAGTCACTTTGAAAGCAAGAAATAAACTCAACTTACACAAGTTTTGTATTCGCGAAACTTAACTGCGTCTTATCAAACATACGATTAATCTGTCCAGCTATATCAAGTGGACTGTTGAAAGCCATAGAATCCTAAATTAAATGTAACACAAAATATGATGTAACAGTCAAGCGTTAGCGATATTCTACACTATATAAACACTAAAACAAAAGCTAACTATGAAACTAGAAACGGTAAAACCACTGGTTTCATCATAATCACATGAAAAGAATACTGATTTAATTCATTAAAAAAAAATCATTTATGACGTTAATCTTGAAGTACCGATTGTTGGATAAAAACGATCTTTGCTTTATTCGAACTTCCTTTTATCAAAAAACCATATCTTGTTATTTTTGGACAGCTGTTAAAGGCAATCGGTAGAAAACCTTGGACCGAGATTTCGTGCTTTCGGACACTGGTCAGCAAGACATATCTACACTCTTGAGAAAACTCATGTCCGTACAGAGATTCGGGGATGCATCACCCAGTGCTGTGATCTGAGCTGCTCATGCTATTGATTGACCTCCAGTATGACTACACCCGTGCATCTGCGCCTTGCTGGAGAACGCCAACAACCACGAAACCTAGGTCCAAGACTCCTATCGATTGCCTCCAACTATTAGGTATCAATAATTTAAAGTGCACCGCGATGACGAGCCGCTTGGCACGGTTGTGGTCACATTGCAAATGTGACTGACAGAATTCAATCTACACCAAACAAAGGACTGGACACACTACACTAGTCACTAACTAGTGTCCAATTAAAAGTACCCAGTACTGTCTTACAGGTCATCCACGAACCCGAATAGCTCACTGGTAACGTTTCTAGCTGCAGCACTGAGTGATGCGGGTGTGAATCTCAGAAGGGACATGAGTTCCATCAAGATCGCAGATATACCTTGCTTACGAGTGCCAACTAGCACGAAACCTAGGTCCAAGGCTTAATGCCGATTGCCTCAAACCACCTAACATAAACACTAAGATTACCTATATTACTCATTCTTAATCAGAAATGCCCACGCACACAAACCATAAGAGCCCAATCAATGACTTCTCTAAGCGCGAAGCACTTAGTACAGTAACATTAAGCACAATAACCAAAGTTATTTAGCCACAAATTATTCCAATAGTTGAAAATTGGCTTGCAACAGTCTAATTCAGTTGGACATAAATGTTAAAAATTAAAACGAAAAAAAGAGAAAACAATCAAAACAACATTCTCTACATTATCTGAAGATACACTGACAAGTACTCACAACTTTATTCAACATAGTATCGCCCGCTTCAGGGGTTCTCCCACATTTCAGAATGGTTTCAAATCCAGGAAGTGTACGATTAGCTTTAATTTTTATCGGTTCTAAATCATCATTGTTCGGAGTATGCCGACCAACTTCCATGATTTTCGCATCACTCGGTTTCTTAACTTCGACAACAGGGTTTGAACAAGGCTCAACTGTTTCAATAATTCTAAATAAGAAATAAGGAAGTATAATATATGAAAGAGATTGCAATAATATTATCAAATCAGATGTTCGCTAGAGGAACTGAATCATGCAATCAATATGATACACTATTACATGTCTTTGAGGACAACTAAACGCTTACTACTCTATATCTTGAACACTAATATTTGCCCATGTCACAGACTACTATTCACATTTGTTGAAGTATGCAACAAAATTATCTTTACAGTGTAAAAGTAAAAGACAGGATGAGAATACAAAAAGTTCCTAGCCAGTTAGTAACGTCTTTGATGACATGAGCGAACTGTATAAAGAAACTACATCCTAGTGCGCCCAGGGTAAGTACACTCCAGCCCTTGCCTCAGAAACCTTTCATATGACAACACGCACAATGCCTTTGTCAGGTAAGTCCTGTTCACTGCTCTCACACTGAATGGTTGTTACAAATACAAAACGAGTGTGAATGTCTAATGAACGTGATCAGACTGATGAAAATGATGGGCTCACATAGTATAGATCGAAAGCCGTGTTTCTAAAATACTGATGCGCATAGGCTTTCAGATCCGCAGACTCCGAGTGACATATGATTCTGTTTTGGACACCAGTAACTATTGAAACATGGTTCTTATCGCCTTATGTATCATACTTCTAGACACACTTAAGGCTCAATCTCTGAAAACAAATCAGGATAAATACTGGACTAGTACAACTAATACTTAGCACACTTTGTCAGTGCTTTGTAAAGATAACAATAAATGTTTATAGTGGCATGTTGATCTTCAAAAACTCTGGAAGTCAGTCAACCAGTAACAGATCTGTCATCTAATGATAACTACTGGAACTACAAAACAAGCAATGTACATTCTGTATGAAGCTGTTGTGTTTAACCTGAGACTGGACCAGTGATCACTTTGCGCTTGCAATAAGCATCTTACATTTTATCGTCTTTTTCTTTATTCATGCAGTGTGTCGACTGTAAGCAACTATAATGTGTTGCTAGAAAACAATCCCTGAAATGTACGACCTAACTGTTTAAGTGGCTTTCTGGACGACATCACCAACTAGTCATTTCTAACGAGTCTCGTAGACTTCTTTTTCCGAGATACACTAAAATTTTGTGAAACTAACAATGACCGTCACAAAGTGATACCAGCCAGAAGAACCACTGGGGACTAAGTAGTATTGGGAAACTTTTTCTTATCTTAGTTCGGGAAGTTTTGAATTTCTGCTCATCCTGTTCAACTTCATTCAATTTCTCGTATGGTGCCATTGCCCCCCCCCATGTTGTTCAAGGTCGACAGAAAATTGCGATTTGTAAACTTGACATTATCATACACTGTATGTTTTAGGTAACGCTGTGTTGCCTGAGATGAATGTTGTTTAAGCTCAGTTGCCCGGAAAACACTCATCGTGTAACAGGGCTAAGAACCACACTTATCGAGTGACAGCTGATAATATTACCCAGTTACCAGAACTGAAGTATTCGGAGCGCGAATCGAACCCAAGACCCATCTACTGAAAACCGAAGGCGTAAGCCAATGAACCACAACCCCACTTTCGAGGTGGACAGTTCATCAATTGAGCTTTCATTTGCTTTTGGAAAATATCTTCAGCGAAAATTCAATATGAAGAACACATAAACATTTTGTCCAGAAGAACAATTAAAGCTTCACGTTTAAACCGTTCACAGCTACAACACAAAACGCCAAAAACATCCACCTAAGCTAGAACTCTTCTCTTCTATTTCAAAACACCCTATACGTTTTTTCAGTGTCTAGTCCTTATTAGCATACCCCCACAAAATACATCTGAACAGTAGGATATTTATCATGATGAACTATAAAGCTTTAAAGTGCATTTATACGTAACCTATGGTGACATCAAATAATGCTACAAACAATGATCAATAAAGTGAGAACTTACTTTAAACCCTTTCTTAGTGATGTAGCAGGTCCTGTAGATTGTGAACCATGTGTCATATTAACGAAATCCCTCTACGTATAAGTGGATTAATAATCTGAATACCTCTTGAAAGCGCCATCTATCTCTGATCCATGATTCGGCGCTTTGAAGTGCAGATGGAAATGCATCCAGTGTTCCAGGTGGAGCGACTAGTTGCAGTGATAAAGTGAAACTAATCTAACCTTTCCTAACATAAGAAACCATACGGATCATCTCCAATGTTAACTCCGGCTGACCATCTGGATACAGATCTGCGAGGAGACGATCGAAACTATAATCCGACTTGCGACGAGACTGCCATGCAGCAGCTCGTACCATTTCGAAGTTTTGTTCACCATCTGGACCAGTGAGTATCTATATCATAAACTGATTGGTGTGCAAACTTACAGAAAGCGGAAATGAAAATATTTCGTTATCCGAAATCATCTAAAAGTGGGTAACAACAACAGTTTCATGTTAATTTATTATATCCATCCAAGTATAATCATGACACACTACAACAAGTCGGAAAAGTGATAGCTTACAGGCAACTTTCAAGGATACACAGAGGTAATAGGCGAAAATACCTGGCTTCTACATATTTATTCAAACCCCAGAAAATCAATCTTATGGCTACAAAGACTTTGTAGCACAAGAATATAAATATCGTTTGCTGAAGTTAGAGACGAAATGATGCCAGCTGGTGAAAGCCTTCGGGAAGTCAGTGAACCAATCTGTTTTCTTACGATGACGACAAAAATTAGCATGGGATCAGAGAATATTCGCGTTATGTCTTGAGCTTGCAAAGTGTCTCACATTGCAAGAGTGATGTAAAGTTGTAAAGACGTGCAGAGAATCTGTGACAGTAGATGGTAAGGGTTGGACTTTCCTAATTGTTAACTGCAGAATCAATAATCTACTCCTGTAACCCAAACACCAACGACGCAGACACTGACGGAGTAGCTATCATGATGTCGACAGCATAATCGAAGGCTCTTATGCAGTGGAAACCAACTTCCTGTGAGATAGTGACGGAGAGATTCAGCTCAATTACAACTACACCCCTATACACAAAGCAGACCCATTGGAGCGGAAGACCTCCACAGACAACTGTAAACAGTAATGGACAAAAATTCGGCCAGAATGTGACATCAAACTTGTAATGGGTGATTTGAATCAAAGCCAAATCGAAATCGCAGGCTTCTGCTCTTTCAATGATTTGATTATTGGGAGCAGCGTGTACAGGACTAAGGATATAAGGCGATATAGGTTTCACCAAATGGACACATCAAAAACGAGACGAAATCATTTCCAATCTCAAGAATTAGGAGGTAGCCTAAATGATAAAAAATAGAGGTCAGGAGCAGATATCGACCGGGACCACTACATGGACTGCAAAATGGCTGAGAGTAGACTACAACTCACGTCCAGCACCCAGAAACTGAAGGACTAAACTTTGAATGACAGCACTACAGTTAACAAGGGAACTCGGAGACATGAAATAACACCGGAAATCCTTGAAAGTGAAGTTGAAGGAAACACAAGATCGCTTTAGGAAGAAATAAGAGGCCCATATCGCCATCACATAAGGTTTGGAAGGACGAAAATGCACCTATCAACTGGAAATTGAGATTTTGAAGTTACATTAATTGAGATGGTTCAAACAGGTATTACGCATGCCCAACCGTCGCCTTTCTAGACGGGTAGTGTAAGCTGATATAGGATGGATCAGGTTCGAAAAGAGCTAGTGGTGGGCAAACCAAAACATATATACATCAATTAATGATATCCATAGCAGCCGGTTTAAGTCAGATACACAGAATGGTGTAAACTTCCTTACAGGCTGGGGTTCAAAATATCCGTGCGACAAACCTTCCGCCAAAATCAATTCGGTTGTGGAGATGAGTGATTAAAATAAACATAAACAAATGCAGATAAAGTAATTTCAAATTCAGTCACCGATAACTCGTGCTAAAATGGTAACAGGTTAAGATCTTCATGAGCATCTAATTCTTTCAGTGGTATGCACAGTGGTATGGACAATAGTACCCTCCTTCACTATCCAAAACTTGCATCGGATACTTGATAGTGCTTGTGAAGAACCCAAATGACCTTCAGGAACGTGGTGGCGTTTTATAATGAGATTAGTGACTGGATGGCAGCAGGGTAATAAGGCTGGATGGCGGGTCTCATATGCCGATTCTAACATTTGCAAACATCCACCAACTCTAGCGATCCCTTCGAAAACTATCGGGGTTAATCTATCTAAACGCACCTTGAAATCTGCGAAATCGAGATTATCCACCTTAACTATCTCACCCCACGCTTCCCACTGAGCAGCCCTCAAAATCGCTAACTCTGCATTTCTAATATCTTTGACTCTCAAAGGTTCCATGTTCATATTATCGTATCTTGAATGATGCATGACCTTTAAATACGTAACATATCGTGCCAACCACGCAACGGCCTTCAGTAGTTTGTACCAAGAAGAATAATGTTTGAAAAGTGGATGTAAACCTGAATGTCTTTCTTGAGTAGATGTTAAACTGACACTTGTCTTAAACTCCAAGACACACTCGCCTATCGGGGGTTCATCTTCTCTGCTAGGCCGTATACTATCAGCTCGTAGCAAAAACTCTGGACCTCTCCACCACTTATTTTTCACCACATTCATATCAATAACTCCTCGCGGTATTAGATCAGCTGGATTTTTTCCGGACGGTACGTACCTCCACTGCTCGGTAGTTGTTAGTTCACGAATTTGAGATACTCTGTTAGCTACAAAACATGCATATCTTGCTGACTCGTTTCGTATATAATATATCACAGACATCGAATCAGTCCAAAACGTTACGGGATGCTTGGGGTAATCCAACTCTTTACACACCGTTGTGAATAACTGCACAGCTAGTAAGGCGGCATTAAGTTCTAATCTCGGAATCGAAACCGTCTTTAGAGGTGCAACTCTAGATTTACCCATCACCAGGCTAACATCTATATCTTTCCTTAAGGTGGTTCTGATGTATACGGCTGCACCTAATCCAACCTCAGAGGCATCAGAAAAAACATGGAAGTCAATTATATCATGATTTCTCGACGGCTTAAGTGGACGTGAGACGGAATGTAGATTCAGCATTCTTAAACTGTTAACCCACCCTTTCCACTCTTCTCTCTACCTCTCACTTAATGGTTCATCCCACTGTAACCCTTTCCTGCATGTCTCTTGAAATAACCTCCTAGCCGGAAGTAGATAAGGTGCTACTAATCCAAGTGGGTCAAACACGGACGACAACACAGAGAGCACACCTCTCCGAGTAACTGGCTTATCAATATCACCAACACTAAATCCAAAGGTATCAGAGTTCACATCCCATCGCATACCTAATGTGCGTTCAACTGGTAGAGTATCAACAGGCAAATCTCGTACGGTAGGTTCTCTGTCTTCTGGATCTATATGCTTCAAAACGTCTAGGCTGTTCGAGACCCACTTAGTTAGACGAAAGCCGGCCTTAGCTAACACTTCAGTGATGCTTGTTGCAAATCTAACTGCAGACTTATCATCATCGAAGGAGGTTAAACAATCATCTACATAGAAGCAACAATCGATGGGGTCCAGCAGACCATCAGAACCAAACGTGGACACAGCCTTACGAAGAGCAAAATTAGCACAAAACTGGGAAGACGTGGAGCCAAATGGATGCACTATCATCCCATATTCTGACACCTTACCACAAGGACCATCATCAAACCACAAGAAACTTAAGTGATCTCTGTCGCTCTCTGGCACCTTCACTTGTAGGAACATTTCCTCTATATCCGCAGCGACAGCAACTGTAAACTTTCTGAATCTTAACAGCAGTCCAGCTAATGAGCTCACGTAATCTGGACTACTATATAGATTATCATTCAAAGAAACCCCTTCGTGTTTCGCAGAACAATCGAATACCACACGGAGTTTAACTGGCTTGCTCGGATTAAAGACGGGATGATGGGGCTCGCTATGATCAACTGGTCTTCCAACGTAAACCTTCATTACATGTTTGTTGACGACATCCCTATATTTGGTCCAGAGACCTGTATCCGTTACAAACTTCTTTAAACCCATTAGTCTCTGAAGAGCAACTTCTCTGTTATAAACCAACTGTTCAACTTTAAATCCCCCAGGTAGGCCAACGCTGAAACGCCCATTGTCGTATTTACAAGACTCCTAAACTATTTTAACTGCCTTTAAGTCTTCCACAGAACGACCCTTCTCTGGGATACCACAGTCACAAAACTCCTTGTCATACATATTTCTAATCATAGTCTCCAGTTTGCCCCATTGTTTGCAGCTAATGATGATATGTGGACTATGGGTATAGGTCCTCTCACTATCCATCCCAGGGGTGTTTTCGTCGCGAACAGATCATCTCTACCTCCGAATCTCCCTTTTAATACCTTGTGAGCTTCTGGCACACTACATCCAATGAGTATTCTTACTCTACCATATTGCAGTGTTGGAAACGGTATGTCATACATGTGCGGCTTACCGACAACTGTTTCATGACTAGGTACTATAACTTCGCCGAGTTTCATACTGGAGGTAGTGTAGGCAGTACCTACTTCAACGGTTTCTCCGGTAGTCAAGGATTCTAACTGAAATGACACTCGTTCACATATTAACGTTTTTGAAGAATTGAAAGTATTTAGGACTAAGGATTGTTTTGGGTCCTTAACACTCAAGCGGCCAGCCAGCTTAGCACCCATCAATGTAATGTCTGAACCATTATCTAGCAACACACATGTATCGACACATGACCTTGGTCCTCTTACTCTTGCTGGCGTGACACCTAAATAGACCTTCTGGAAGTTGTGCAGTGTAAGGCTGCTATTACAATCAATAGAACTCTCCTGATTCTTTGATAATGTCAACAGCGGATGTAATCCTGATAAATCACTACTAACATTTCCAGCTGTCTCACAGTTAAGCCTTGTGTGCCCGTCCTTTAAACGGAAGAGGCATAACCGTTTCCTTTTCGCAATTTGTAACCTTTCTGTAGGAGACATTTGAGGGAAACGAGCATACAGATAACACACTTTCCTGAAAGTCCAATGCTTTGTCACAAGTGATTATGTCTTAATCTCTGATCTCTCTGTTTCAGAAGCCGGATACAATTTACTGGCGAATTTACTCATAGCCTGATTAACATTGTCTATTGCTAATCTCAGTATATCGTCTAACCCTGACTCTAAACCTTCGTCCCCTAAACTGGAGCTGACTTTTATAAACTTTCTTTGTGAGCGAACGAATAATCTCTTAGCGATAGTCTCAAGCACAGAACTCGAGTTCAATTCATTCACACAATTAAAAGAAACGACAGTGTATCTATGCACCATTAAATTACCTAAAAACTCTGCGAGTTCCTCAGAGCCATCGTCTAACTGCGCGTCGTTACCCTTAACTGTCTCAAAAACATTCTGGATATCATAAAATGGCCCCCCAAACCTTTGGCGCAATATTCTCATGGCCTCAGTTTATCCTTTGTTTGGGGCATAAACTTGCAGCACTGTATGGCTCTTGGAGCGACACTAGTGCGGTACCATCAACTTCGTTTCGTCATTGATTACAAAACCATTCAACATGACTTCAAACTACTTTACAAACTGCGGATGGTCAGCTTGGTTTCCTTAAAAATCCCGAGGGTCAAATTTTGAAAGTTTAAAACCCTTACTACCACTAGATGGCGGAACATAAACACCAGTCCTATCATGCTGAGCATCATACACATCATCGCAAATAACAGGCATAACAGACGCGAGCTCAACGTATAATTTTTCGCTAGCCCTGATGAAAGATAAGCTTTTACACAGTCGGATTGAATGCAACTGAGATGTTGCACGCACATAAGGACCTATAACTGTCTACGACTTTGACAGTATTTTACAAAAGGATTACCATATTTATAATAATAATTTATATTTTCACATAAACGTATAAATTCACATGAAAATGCACGCCATTTTTACAGGCACGAACAAGTATGGTATAATGTCAAACCTTAAATTGTCTACAAGTTAATAATGTTTCAACAGTTAAATATTTGATACATATATATAATTACACTCATTGTCTGAACCAGGCCGTATAGTTATTGAATTGTACAGTTGTCCTCCAGGTTTCGCGGGAAAATCGACTTCGCTTCGCTATTACAATACAAAAACATGTTTGACCCTCTTTTCTTCTTAACACTAATGCATACTTATACTATGCGCAACCGGATTAAATGTAACTGAAACATTTCATGCGAGGCTTGATGAAGTACTGAGGAAATAAATAGGGTTTACGATTATGACGCATTTCACACAAGTATTACTACGCTGCCTATCAATTTCGTTAACTATGCAATTTCCTTGAAATGATAATTAAGAGAGATACAGGTAGTCCACATAAATGCATATATTTACAAAATAACAACAGCCAAACAGTACATATTCCCATCAGAAAGGTGTATAACAATTCAGTGGCTACATCATAGTCAAATTAAAGTCCACTAATCGCGGTACGTTCAACGTTTGCGTTACATTTTTACGTGATTCGTTACATAAAATTTATCTTGTTGTAGTACTTGCACAAGTACTATACCACTTCCATACTTGTAACCACTAACTCTCATTTCTAATAGTTATGGTTAATCAAAGTAAAAAGCAACGAACCCAATCCCCTGTAAAACTGGTGTCTAATTTAACGTCCTTGATTGCTACATCAAGCAACACACCCCCAACAAACGGCTATAGTGAGTCACATAACTCACGTGTATGCCGTAAGCGTCGAGCTGAAACTGAGGATAAAACTGTACTGACAGCCAGTATTAGCACTACTCCTAAAAATTCGGTACCCTCTGCTCATACAGAACTCCTCCCTTCACCTTATGTGCTTATGGAGAAACTCCAGCCATCAAGCTCTTTTTCAGTACTATCTTCAGAAATAGAACTTCTAAAGTTGTCTATAGGAGAACTTAAGGCTGAGTTAAGGGAAATAAAAAACAGTAAGTCAGTAAATGCTGGAAACATCGAAACCAATACCGAGATATCCAAATTATCAGATCAGATCAGCGATATCAGATCGCAGGTCTGTGAACTGACACCTCTAACTATCCTCATGAAAACGGTAAACCTTAACAAGCTTGACACAGAATCGGTAACTAAGGTAGATAACCTCATTAACTTTGTTACCACAGAAGTAACAAAACGACTCGACGCAAAACTGAGTGCTATTGTCTACAACGTTCCGGACAATGAGGCACTAAAAAAGGTACAGCGCATCTTACTTAGTGAAGCGAAAATGCCTAACTCCAAGACTAAGTGCTACAGGCTGAAGAAGAGTCAACATGAAAAGTGTTGTCCTATTCGTTTTCAGTTCGAAACACCGGCAGAGACCAGAAAATTCATTCACTCCCAACACACCCTATCGCAAGCCAGAAACTACAAACATATAAAGGTCGGGGTGGAAAAAACAGTTATAGAAAGGCGCGCACACAACTATCTCACTAAGACTAATTGTGAAATAGGTAATAGGACATTGCAAGCAGCCATTATTCCCAACCCTGTGAAAGATACAGTAGACCCCACCGCATCACCCCTCTCAAAACACACAGAAATATCCCATCAGAGTGCAACACCAGCCGAAAGGCCACTAGACTGTAACCAAATAAATAATAAAACCATACCACCCATCACCGCAGAATCTAAAATGCCACTAAATAACCCCAGAAAAAAAGTTAAAACCCCCCGAAATTCGACTTTGTCCTCTCCTAGCTATAATTCCATTGGTAAAGATAAGGAAAATATGCCCCTAAATCATACCAACAAAAACAGTGGCAGCTTAAATAAGCCCACACTCCCCACGGTTAATAGTATTAGCACTCACAACGTGCTAAATCGCACCGTGGCACACACTAATATCCAATGTCACAACGATGTCACCCTAAATAGTACAAGTGGTAATAGTCAGAACTCGGCTACCAACAACTCAGGGTCTTCAGAGTATGGCACACAAACAAATTTCGACCGGATATATGGTACAAGTCTGCTGGGAACTAACCCAAAATGCAGTACACACGAAACCCACACAAGGACACAACTAGCATCAAACAATAGGTGGAATAATAAGCCATGGTCATCACAAGGATCCAATCATTTTTTATCCCCCGCGTCCCTGTCAGCGTTGAAAAAACAGCTGGTAGGGATGTTAACACTCCTAAACCACTAGTGCTGGCTCCCTCCTTGCATGAAAACAGGAACGGTCTAGTGCACCCGTATCCATTGGACACACTTGACACTTGCACAAGTATAGGCCAAATAAAGAACCCTACCCACTTCTGTAACCTAACTAAAAATAAAAGTTCCTTAGTCTATAGCAAATCCAGTACTCCAACTCCTAATTCTCCACCGAAAACAGCACACAACAACTCGATAGACATAGGTGAGCATGATGCTGGAACTCCTCTTAACATAGGATCGTCATGTCCAGCAGAACTACTGGGTGCTGAACCATATTCGGGGCTGACTAACGAACTTAAATACTTCAAATGCTACTTCAACTCTCATCTTTACGTAATCCTCATAAATGCTAGATCTGTTCTAAATAAATTGCCGATGCTCAGAGCACTCACAGTAATATACAAACCCCCTGTAATTGTCATCACTGAATCTTGGTGTCATTCGGACATCCTGGATGAAGAAATAAGCTTAGATAACTACACACACTTTCGGTGTGACAGGGAAGGTGGTAAGGGAGGGGGTTGTCTCATGTACTTTCTGAATGCACTTACTGTATCACAGCTAGAAAGTAGTACACTTAACATGCCTGAGACTCTATGGGTTAATGTACACTTAAATAACGTAACAGCATTAATTGGATGCTCCTACAGAGCACCTGGCACCTTTAGTAATTACGAGACCCAACTTATTAATACTCTGGAGCAATTAACCGACTTACAATACGATCATAAGATCCTATGTGGGGACTTTAACTTACCTGAAATCAACTGGGATATACCCACAGGTCCAACTAAATTTGATAAGTTCTTAGACACACTGGATATACTTGGCTGGAAACAAACTGTCACTACTCCCACAAGAGGTAACAACGTACTAGACTTAATCTTCTGCCACAATATAAGCCCCCTTTCAACGCTAGTAGGTTCTGAGTTCCCAGGGAGCGACCACAAAACAGTAATGTGTGCACTGCCAATTCCGCTGAGTAGCAATGCATCTCATACCTCCACTTCACAACAAGTAATATATAGGAACTATAGTAAGGCAAACTGGGCCTTAGTTGAATCGATGCTAAGATCCTCCAAATGGGATGAATACTTCACTACTGATGACCTATCGAGAGCCCTAACCATCTTCTACCATAACTCAAACACATGCTTAGATGCTGTCATTCCACTCCAAACACTAAAGGTTTCCCCACACAGAAAGTCATTCATAAAACCAAAGGATCGTAAGAAACTGAAGAAACTCTCAACAAGTTACTTCAAACACCACGACTTTGGCACTCTAGGTCTAATACTTAAAACCCTTAGCTCCATCACACAAGCTCAAGATTTCCGTATGAGAAAGGAAGAACGCATCGCAGTAGCCAGTCCTGCTAGAGTGTATGCACTCACAGAAATCTTAAGGAAGCGAATGAATCGCAAAAATCACAGCATTTCTCTCCTCATAGACAAAGGCAGGCTATGCACTAACTCTGCAGACATATGTGAACTATTCAACAAAACGTTTGCAGGTAACTACCTTAAGCCCTCAGTCCAGCTACTCGATATACACCCTATTACTAAAATGGCACAAACTCCAACTCCACTGACACCAAACCAAATTAGCACTGTTCAATTCACTTACGCTGATATTAACCAAACTATAAGAACCCTCAAAAGTTCAAAAGGTTTCGGTACCGACGGTATATCATCTTACTTCTATAAATATGGTGGCCCTGACATTCCTCTACTGCTGCTTAAAATATTCACAATGTCCCTAGAAACCCAAACTTACCCTGACATATGGAAGACTACATTCATTATGCCTAAACACAAATCTGGCTCGAAAACTGAAGTCAGTAACTACCGGCCAATCAATATCACACCTATAGCATCTAGAATCATGGAGAGACTAGTCAAAGATAACTTAATCAAACATATGCTTAGCTGCAACATCATAAGTCCGAACCAACATGGATTCCTGAAATCCAGATCATGTTTAACATGTCACCTAGACTTCTTCAATTTTGTAACCAGCAGTCGTGACAGACGGCAACTAGTACTTGTCATCTACTTTGACATTTCTAAGGCATTTGACCGTGTTGACCATTTACTGCTAACAAATAAACTGAACTCCTTAGGAATACGTGACCCATTATTAGGATGGCTTAAATCATTCCTTAACAATAGGTCCCAAATAGTTAAACTCGGGTCTGCAACCTCCAAACCTAGCCCTATCACTTCTGGTGTAGTACAAGGTAGTGTCATTGGACCCCTCCTATTTACACTATACATCAATGACATATGCGCTTGCTTCACGCACGGGAAACCATTCATCTTTGCAGATGACCTAAAAGTAGCTTATACATTCCAACGTGATGACTTAGGGAACTTCGAGAATGTAGTACAGAAGGAATTAGATAAAATGGCTGCTTGGTCGTCCCTATGGAATCTCCAATTTAATCTGAACAAATGTGGCTGGATCTGCTTCGGTGCACCCTCAATTGACCTGAAATTAACGCTCCAATCTGCTAACCTAACAAGACTCCGAAGTGTCGTTGACCTAGGCCTGAGGTACTCTAGTGACTTGACATTCTCAGAGCAAGTAGCATCACAGACTAGAAAATCGAGGATGCTCTTAGGATGCATACTCAGGAACTTTCACGACAATGAAGCCAAGCTAATTCTGTACAAAACATGTGTCAGACCACTACTAGAATACTGTCCATTTATTATAAGCAGCACTCGCACACGTGACAAGCTAAGGATGGAAAGTATCCAACGATATTTTACCTCAAAACTGCTTGGCTACGATTGTAAGAAAGACTACATCTCACGGTGCATGATCCTAAAACTTGACCCACTTTGGACAAGGCGACTTATTATAAACCTAATATTCTTCTTTAAGGTCCTTCACAAAATATCTTTCTCAGGTAACAGGGACATACAATTCGCACAGGAAGGTTCTTACGATCTGCGTAACCAAACTTCCACAGTGACAACTCATTCTTTTAAGTCAACACTCCGTGAAAACTTCTTCACAGTCATGTATTCTAAAATATGGAATAGCCTACCCCTAGATGTCAGAACTTGCTCTTCGGTTACAAGCTTCAAACGCTCTCTATACAGACTGTTTCACTCTACTGATTATATTAATAAACTATTTACTCCTAGAACGAATCAAGCACTAATCTACTACAGCACCTAAAAGACGCACTTCAACACCCTTAGCAATCTTTAAACTATAAATAAACTAGCAGCATGGATGCATAAAGACATAGTACGGAACATACAGGATTAGTTTACCCTTAGAAATAGGACCTATCCCTCATTGTAACCTTCAAACGCTTGCTATATAAACTGTTTTGTCCAAATGACTATCCCTACCAGAACCCATCACTTATTTCTAAAACGCACAGTCATTAGAACAATAAAAACGCTCAGACACATTAATACACATTATGACATTAAATAAACTCTAAGACTTCGCATAAATACGTGAAAACAAATACAATATAGAAAAATGTTTACTTAAGTATAATATACAATTAAGATAAACATTTATAAATGCATAATATATATATGTCCTTTTCATGTTCACATACTTTCTCTTTCTGGTATTTTGCTGCTCCTATTCATCTTCTGGTCGAGGTCGAACAACCCTGCATCTAAACTGAAATGAGGATTAATTCCAAACCGTCTATCTCATAACCACTCAAATTCCATGAACGATCCAATTCTACCATTTGAAGACGCTGGCGAACATGCTGTAAATGAGTATTCATGATCTGAAATGAAGAAGCAACTGGTTTTCAAACAGTTTTCAACATTTTACTCAACTTACGAATACAGTCCGCCATGCAGACACAAATGGAGCAAATGGAGAATTCTGGAATCGACCTCGGCACCATTTGATGCAGTAAAACAACCCAACATGACCTTATCTAGTTTTCGTATCCACGATCAAATTTCTTTCCTGTTATAAAACTACGATAAGACTGCTGAAAAAATGGAATAAATATATCACTGATCTCAACATAATACATCAATAATCTTTAAGCCAAGGGTGCTGTTCACAACAAAGTTATATAGGAGAATTGACTTCAAGCTTTATTTTTCCCAGATATTTGTATTACATTCATCTGATGTCTGGGTTTTTTGTTAATGCGAAGACAATATTTCTATATCTCTTTATGTGCTACACAAACAAACTTTATAGCAGACTGTTCCGACTGACTTTGATGTCAGAAAGAACAACCAAACTGTAAATCCATTATACATAAAATTTTGTGTAATTTATATAATAACTTATCCATGCCTGTACAATTGGTATGTTCCTGCATAAACAGGAAGAAATATATATTATTATTAAACCACAAGAAACTTAAGTGATCGCTGTCGCTCTCTGGCACCTTCACTTGTAGGAACATTTCCTCTATATCCGCAGCGACAGCAACTGTAAACTTTCTGAATCTTAACAGCAGTCCAGCTAATGAGCTCACGTAATCTGGACTACTATATAGATTATCATTCAAAGAAACCCCTTCGTGTTTCGCAGAACAATCGAATACCACACGGAGTTTACCTGGCTTGCTCGGATTAAAGACGGGATGATGGGGCTCGCTATGATCAACTGGTCTTCCAACGTAAACCTTCATTACATTGGTCGAAATAAAAGTTCTCAGAAGTAAACCTATCCTTATAGGGTGCGTATACCGACCGCCATCATCCAACCGCGAATACGATAACGTACTCAGCAACATATTTAGTGTTGCATCCAATCTCCCCTTCAGTTATAATATAATTGGTGGTGACTTCAATTTGCCTGATATATCATGGCGTACACTTCGTGGACCCTCGAGGTATGATAATCTTCTTAATTCCATCATTACTGGAGGATGGACGCAACACATAAATGTACCCACTAGGTCCAATAACATTCTTGATCTTATATTCACGATCAACGTAGCACCATCTACAATTCATGTGGGACATGAATTCCCAGGTAGCGATCATAAAATAGTTGCATGTTCGTTTAATATTTCTCCAGAAAGTATACACAGAAACGAAGTTAGTCGGACACCTATAAGACCATACACGCGGGTTGATTGGGACTTGTATCAGGACTTGATTAGATACTCTAATTGGGATTCCTACTTTACCAATGACTCCTTAGAGGAAGTCCTTAAAAACTTCTATGACAATATACAGTCGGTTAATGATGTCATAGCGCCTGTGAAACTGATTAAATTCAAAATCCCTCAAGGTGATTTTATTCCAATATCATTAAGAAGAAGTTTGCGGAAGCATTCATTAAGTTACTATAGACATGACGACTTATCGTCGTTAATCGCTATCAAATCAATCCTCATTAGAATCCATGAGTTAAAAAATCTAAGTCTTAGGAATAAAGAAACGCGGGCAATTCAGTCGCCACATAACACTGGAGAAATAGCCAAACTCTTCAAAAGTAGGTTAACTAACTCCAAATCAACATATCCAAAAATAATACACCTAGGTGGCATTACTCACGAAAGTGCTGAGGATATATGTGAGGTGTTTAGCACGCACTTTGCCAAACTGTACACTCCAGAAAATGACCAGGATATAGATTTCCCTCGTAAAACAGAAAAGTGTCTGAGCGATGTAGTCTTAAACGCCCAAGAAATCGATAAAGGTATCACAACTCTTAAGCTTACTAATACTCCCGGCCCAGATGGAATGTCTTCCGTCCTCTTAAAAAATGGTGGAAATGACATGAATCTACTTCTTCTCAAGATATTTTCAACTTCGATAAGGAGTGGAACATATCCAAATAGCTGGAAGAAATCCTACGTTGTACCCATTCACAAAACCGGACCTACAGCGGACATAGATAATTACCGCCCGATCAACATTACTTCCGTAGTTTCACGTGTGATGGAAAAGATTGTAAAGAAGCAAATTGTTCAGTATTTGCTCTCGAATGACTTAATATCCCCTTTCCAATACGGTTTCCTAAATAGAAGATCGTGCATTACGTGCCAGTTAGATTATTTCGACCACATTACTGAATGTGTAGACAAAGGTCGTTCGGCAGCAACATTATTTCTAGATGTTAGGAAAGCTTTTGATAAAGTCCCACATAAAAGACTCATACTGAAACTCCTATCTTATGGAATAAGTGGAAGGCTTCTTGAGTGGATAACTTCCTTTCTTACAGGAAGAGAACAGTTAGTTAAAGTCAACCATCACTTATCAACATCCAAACCGATAACCAGCGGCGTGATACAAGGTAGTGTTCTTGGCCCTACCCTATTCATTGTATTCATAAATGATATTGTCTCTATGATCAAGTATGGCAAGCCATACCTCTTTGCAGATGACCTCAAAGTTGTCTATGATTTTGACTATAATGATATGAATATTGTTAGTAAAATCCAAGAAGACCTAAATAGTCTATGTAATTGGAGTGAAAAGTGGCAGTTAACGTTCAATCCAGCTAAATCTGGGATAACATACTTCGGACGTTGGAAACCTAGCATGTGTCTATACATGTACGGTGACCTTGTCTCAAACACAAACACAGTCACAGATCTCGGGATAACATACTCAGATCTTACCTTTACTGAACATGCAAATAAGGTGGTATCTGATTGTAAACGTCTAACCGGCTTTGTGCTACGCAACTTTTACACTCCAGAAGCCAGATTAGCCATATATAAGATATGCATTCGCCCCAAACTTGAATACTGTGCCCACTTATACAGTAGCTTCAAGTCGGCAGACAGAAAAAAGTTGAAAGTGTCCAAAGATTCCTTACGAAACGCATATTAGGCTATGGTCAGCAAATAGAATACCTTGACAGATGTATTCGACTGAACTTAGAGCCCTTATGGTTAAGGAGAGTGAAGTGCAATTTATTTCTCTTATTCAAAGTTATAAGAAAGCACTGTAACAGTAACTCGTCCATAACCTGGGCTAATCCTAAATCGTATGGACTACGCAACCACAACTACCTTCTCAAGGTTAACACCCATAAACTCAACACTAGAGCTAACTTCTTCACCATTAAATATTGCAAACTTTGGAACCAACTACCCTCTGAGATAAGATCCTGTGAAAGGCCTGACAGTTTCAAAAGGAGCCTAGAAAAACATATAAACATGTCCACCCTAGCCCGCCTCAAAGATCTCAACTGCTGGTAGAGTGGAGAGACAATGGCTTTTCAATATTTAACTACGGAAAGTACACTAGTCCCAATACCAATATAATAACACTTAGTAATTATGTAGGTTCAATACTTGAAATTCGATTGTCATTAAAATACTTAAAATGATTAAAATAGCTATGCGGCAAGTGTTCTCTTGCTTTACCATGCTTGTTTCCCTTATAACACTCAGTTATTGAGCCTAATGTATTCTTTGATAATACGAATTATGACACTGACTATGCTCTTATTATACATAGATTGATTTACTTTACGATTACCTGTAGTACTAACTACCCTTCTGTAGTATTGTTAAACAAATGCTGAAATTTTGTTGGTTCTGTTAATATCTTTTTATAATATGTTTAGACACGTTACTTTGCAATGTCAGATGTCTACTATATACAAGACTGTCATGATAATTTAGTACACTAAGTCCTGCCAACCGACCTTACCTTCAGTTCATACTACCTATATTGATCCCTAACTATATTGTTCTGCTGAATCTTGCTTCACTATTCACAAAACCTATTCTTTTTATTCTTTAAGGTTCTAACTTCTTGTAAAGTAATCTGTTCATTAGGACGCATGCATACATATATAATGTTCATAAAGATGTACGCGGAGACCTATTGGAAGCACTCATTAAGAAAGCTAGGGAGATGGAATATGAGGTACGAACATGTCTGGTACCAAGCAATATATTTGCGGTAGCCATAATAATCATAGTCTCAGAGCTTAACATCAAAAAAGGAGGGAGGGTGGCGTTAGCTGATCAGTAGATATGGTGGGGGTCACTAAGGTGAATCGCCCCATTCTGCAGGAACAGCAATACACAAATTAAAGGCTCGAGATATTTCTGATTTTTATGAGGGCTTAGATCTTTATCTTGAAAAAGATAATAATGAACGCCTTGACAGATCATGCTTCTACCTCTAAATATATACTATTCGCCCAGCCTATTGTTGAGATGCGACCATGTGGGATGTGCACAGTTTTATGGGGCATCTTATAAACTAACTTGCTATCCATTGTCAG